TTCTGTCAGTTTAATCCCTCTTTCTTTTCCACTGACACATTTCTAATACCTCTTCAGACAGGCCAGACACTTCTGCCTCATCTGTACCGAATCCACAATGCTTAACACCTTTTGACAAAATGGATACATCCTCCCTGTGGCTTGGAATTGATATACGCTGTCAAGAAGGGTTTTCTGAGCAGTCTCTCTTTGTCACCTTCACCAGATTTTTATCCTCTGTTGCAGAAATGTGCAGTTTAATGTTGCGTTTCAAATCATTTTTGGCTGGAAAAGTGTGTAATGGAATCAGGGTGTCCCCTGAATACTCCTAACAGTAGGAGATGCCTCTTTGTTTTGAACACCGGAATCCCAATGGACCCACGACAGCACTGAAATAACACTTTTGACCTTGTTCACTAAAGTGTTTGTTTCTCTGTATGATTAAATGAGAGTAACCAACAATAGCTTCCTCTAAAATGTATGAGTTTCTCTCTGTTTGTTTCTCGTCAGAAACTCAGAAAGGATGCTATGCAATTCTCAGCTGATTGTGTTCTCCACAAAAGAAAAAGGAAAAAAAAAGGGGGAGGAACCCACAAATGCTGCTTGGATCAAGGGGAGGTGGCTTTAAAAATGCAAAAGCAATTGATATATTGACATTTTTCTTAAGCCAGTATTTTTGTTACCTCCTGAGTGTGAGAGCAGCTGTACAACACAGGGGCAGGTATTTACCCTTTTGTTACTTCATTCACCATGTTTTAAATGAGAATATATACTAAAACACCAAATACTGTTTTGAAGTATCCGATGTGAATATAGAAAGTAACAATATACTTAAGGTTCTTTGTGAATGTTGAAATGCTCAATAGATCATTTAGCTGATCGCTAATAGATCAGTTAGCTGATTTGCTGCGACTGCCAGTCCTGTCTTACCCACCGAGGCACTGGCACATCACTTGCTCCACATTCAGTTGTTCAAGGCACAGCTCCTCTGGATCAGAAAATGCTTAGTGAAGTGCCCAGAAGAGAGATAAAAACCCAGATTTTTGTTTCTTTCATTTTTAGACTACTCCACCTGTGTTTTGGGGACCTCTTTTCCCAACGTCTTCCTGTTCCCTGTGAATGTTTTCCAGGTCCAGATTAGTGAGCATATGTTGTCGTGCAGAGCACGTATGCGTGAAATGCAAGGGCAGGTAGGATCCTGTAGTTCGTGAGGGTAGGGAGTCACATAGCTGGGTTCAAAAGAGGGGAGAGGACTCAGGGGAAATCTCTAGTTTGTTTTTAGAAGGCTTCAAAATAAATGACCTTATGGCCTCCATGGCCTCAAGACTTAAGAGCTGTTTCTCCTGGGTTTTTGCTCACTGTGTGTGATGCTGCGTGGAGAGAGCATCAGAGCTGTAGAGCATGGTGGGCAATGCACCGAGGGGTCTGCAGATCTGTGACTCCTGGTTCCCTATCCTGCCAAAAAACCCTTTTATTTTTTAATTACTGATTCATTGATGATACAAATTAATGATTCGCCTGGGTCTGAAGCAACCTTGTCATCGGAAAGTATTTGGTTGGTGTTGACATACTTGTTCCCTGCAAGCATGAATCATGCGTCTCTGCCTTTGGCAGGCTCGCCCCGTGGCTCCGCTATAATGTGTTTCACCAGTGTGGCTGAAATTAAAATGTCACTATTAAACATGGCAGAATCAAATGCTCTCTGGGCACTGCATCTCTTTGAGTTCCTCTTGCTTCCTACGTAGCTGTTTCTGACAGTTTAATGGGACAGCTGTATTCTGGTATAAAATAACGTGTTCTTATTTCCACAATGCACGGGGAGCTAAATGCTTTCAGAGCACTGTTTCACAGCATCCGTGCGTTTTTCGTGCACGGCAGAAGCAGTAATGCTCACGTAATGCCATGTTGCTGCTTTGGTCCTTTAGGGAGCCTAAAGTCAAAATGAATTGTCCTGCAGGACCGTATGGACCGAGGTCTCTAAAAGCAGTTGCTGGGCGTTTTGTGGCTCCCGCCTCAGCCAGGCTCCCTCCCTGTGAGCAGTTATTGACTTGAGGCTGTTGAATCCGGGGCTCTGGAGGTTGCTCGGTGGGAAAAGCCTTCAGACGGCACTTGGCAGCTCTGTCACCACGAGGTCACGGAAAGGGCAGTTCAGTCTCCAAACCCAATTAGGGCCTGATTCAGCACCTCTTCATGACAGGGAGAAATCTCACCGAGCAGTGTGGCTCCCGGGCCAGGCTTTCGCACCCAGCCTCTCCGCGGGGACAGCCAACAAACACGTCCATTTTTGTCACTTTGGCCGTCAGAAATACCCCTTGCTGTCATGAAAGGGCTAAGCAGCTGATGCGGAAAGGTAAAAAGCCTGGTAAGAGGGTAATGATCCCACCACAGGTGACAGACCAGTGACCTGGTGCCACTGGTGTATGTCTGCGTCCCCCTGGTTACTCATATCTGGAGCTGTCTAATTCCTCGGATCAAATCATTTGACTCTTATGAGCAGCTGTAACTTTCAAGTTGAATAAAGTCCAACTGCTGAAAACGTTAATGAAAACCATAAAAACGAGGCTCTATTTTAACAGGTATCAACAGCATTGCTTTGATTCCCCTCTCCAAAGATTTTTTTTTTTTCTGAGCTGCATTGTGCTTTTCACCCCAGGTGGCTGCAATTTCTAGCAAAAATAAGTTGAGCTATGAAAGGTTGACCCACTCGCCTCTGAATTGCTTTTTATATGATGTGTGTGTCCCTCAGGGCCTAATTCTGCCCGTAGAGGTGAGAATGATAGCTATCAGTGTATGTAGGAAGTATGTCAGTGTGCACCAAGAAAAAGGTGAACCCCAGATTGGTCTGAGTGGTCTTTAAAATATGGTTTCCCGGTGAAATGGTGATTAAATGGGAAGCAAGGGGTAATTAGGATTAGCCTGACGTGCTAGCAGTTGTATCCACTTGTGTTTTTATATTAGTCCTTTCAGACAAGCACAGGATCAGTAGATCACTTACGACTCTCTTAAACTAGTTTGTAAAATTTGTTTAGTGTCTGATCAGCTCCTTTGATCAGTCTAGTCTAGACTGATGCCAGAGTACTTACTCTGTATGAAACCCACAGACCTTTTAAATGGAGGCCTACTCAAGTGAGTCAAATTACATATGAAAAGGTTATAAAACCCGTCCTCTGTCTTTGCGTAAATGTCTGGTTCAAAGCCAAACACGTTGTGAATTGCAAAAATAAAAGCAAAGGTGTTATTGCAGAAAAGAGATGACTGTCTCGGAAATTCAAAAGAAAACTTTTCAGCAAGCTTCTGTTGTTTTTAATCGGACCGGCATTTTTGTGTTCAGGTCCCATAAAGGGGAAAAATTCCATCAACAATTCTGAACAGATTTCTCTTTAAGAAATTAATGAGTTACAATGACCATGTCTGTCTCATTTAAAGCACACGATATTGATTTTCATCGTGGCTGTCAAAAGCCAGGGCGAGCCTTCAGTACATAGGTTGCGCTCTTGCCACTTCTAATTTCTATCGAGATTATTTGCAAGAGGGTGATAGAAGTCCAGGAGCAGTAAACTCGTCTGTCAGAGCAGAGCTCTTTTCCTCTCATCACTAGAGCCTTTTCCCACCTCTCCAATTGTAGTGCCATCCTGTACCTTGTCTGTTCTTTGCCACATGAGTCTCAGAAACGTGAACAGTTCCTTTTCTCTTTGATAACGCTCGTTTGGAGACCATTTATCATATCCAGAATACTTGGAAAGTTATCTGGTGCCGCTCATTTTACGAAGCTGATTGGTACCTGGGCTGTGCATCTGAAGGCACCTGTGCTTTGAATTTAAAGGTTAAGTTTTCAGTCTTTGTGTGCCTACCATATTTGTTGGTTGCGTTGTAGTGCTGTCAAAAATACCTGGCACAGAAGAAAAGCCAGCAAATTGATCAGATTATCAGAGAAATAAGCTGACACATAAATATCACATCAACAGGATGAAAAGATCACGGAAAGGAGACCATTTAAAACATGAAGAGTCTGAAATCCAAATGATGACTGCTTGTTTTACCTACACCAAATTCGGTGTAAATTCAAGAGAAGAGCTGCTGTACCACTGCTGTCCAAACACTGGAGTAATCTGCTGGTGGTTGAGAAACAGCTCAAAAAAGGCACTAAAATCTTTGGGGTGATACAGAGTTCATCCAGCTTTTTGGAAGAGCCAGGCATTACCGTACTTACAGAGCTGTGTAAATAATGGAAAGATAAAAGAATGCAATTCTGTGAGTGAATACATAGACACAGAATGTGGCAGGAATACTGGGTAAATTCTTCCCTCTTGTGACTGTGTTTCAGCCAGTGACATCACACCAGGGAAGAGTCGGACCATATTTTTGCAGGCAGCATAGCAGGTTGTTAAGAGGCAACAGGCAGATGTTTGAGGGAATTTCCTCTCTGCTGTTCGCAGAAGAATATGTGAAATTACCTGGCTGATCTGTAGTTGTTCCATTACCTGTCGTCTTTCGGCAGGTAACTAGTTAAATTTTGGGTTAAACGGGATTTGCTTTGCTATTTCCATTTGCTGTTGGAGTAGAAATGTTCTGACATGACATATGACCAATCAATAATTGGAAAGTGCTTGCGTGAGTCATTTGAAGCCAGTAGTTTAGACAGTGTCAGCCACAACTGGGATTAAAACCTGCGAAGAGTTGTTCTACAGTCAGTGATTCTGCAGCATCTCCTCTGGGTGTCTGCATTTCACTTAATAAGGATACCCTGTAGGCATCAACTGAAATAACTCTTGCCTTTGTTTCTCAGATCTTTTTGTGAGCTCTGAAATAAACTTGGCATATACAAATATACTTTGTTATCCAGCCTAAAGGATGCAGGGCAGGAATTATTATCCCGTTCTGCTGACAGTAGAAAAGAAATGGCTTTATTTTACTGTGACTCTGAAGAGAATAAGAGTGTGACTGTACCCTGTGGTTTTCTGGGCATTTTTTACTTTTTTTTTTCCCCATTCAGTACTAATGATGTTTTATTACCATTACAGGGCTATAATAATCCGAAATGGTGAAGTCATCCCAATGTCTTCAGAATTCACTCCAGAGACTGAACGCCAGCGACTTCAGTATCTGGTAAGAGAGCCAAGGACAAAATCAGAGGCTGCTGATAACAGGCATTGCCTGGCAATATCTAAGGTTCAGACACATGCCACTGAGTTGCTGTGGCTCAGTGGAGGGCTCTGTGCCCACTGAGTACGTATGTCTTTTAGTCATCAGCAAATGTGAAGAAAAGCTTGGTGGTGCAAATCCCAATGAAAGAGTCTTATCTCTTTTGTGAAAGCTGTCAGTCAGCGTGGCTGTGCTTGTGTACTTGGTTCAGCTGCAGCCCTTCAGCAGCATGTTGGTGTTGGATAATGAGAGCTCAGACCTAGAGCTAACAAGCCACAGAGGTATTTCAGTCCATCCCGGTGTTCAGTGGGTGATGGTGTAAAATCCCGTGGACTGCCCTTTGTGTGCATGTGAGCAATATCGCAGGGTTTTATTCATTCACTCCAATAATATCTTGATTGGGGAAAAGATATCCAACTCAGTCAGTGTTATTGGCTGCAGGATGGGCTGGGTGAAGAAAAACTAGTTTTATTTAATGTAGCAGCACCCTTAAAGTTGTGACAGGATGACTAACTGAGGACTAACTGGGATGCTTAATACACTAAGTTACGTTGGCTGATAAGCTGCCCGAGAGACGTAAGTCAAAATACACAGTAGTACTTTTCATGCAAACAAACCTGTTACTTTTTTCATCGATGGTCAGCTCTGTAGGTTGAAGTTGGTCGTTCCTTTGTCAAAACGTCATTCCTAATGGGGCCAAGAGATTTTTTTTTTCCTTTGGTGCTTCTTGTGGTCTCCTGCTTTTTCCTATTAGAAATTACAGCTTAAGACAAGGCAAGCTCACTGTCAACTTTACCTGACATGATACAAACAGGCCAAGGCTGGTGGCATTCCCTGGTCTTAAAGTGTCTTTTATCTTCAGCCTAGCCCAAGCACTGTGGTTTGAAACTAGGCAAAATGCTGGTGGTTGAAGGCAGAGGTGAAGGGTTTTAAAGAAATACTGTGAATGTTTCCACAATTGCCACATGTGGCTTTTCGTCAGATTCATTGGTTTGAAGCTGAAGATTTCAGAGGAAATACTGCTTTGGGAGGATTCATCTTCAGAGAATCAAATGGAAAAGAGGCCTAGTAAATATTTACAGTTCAGTTACATTTAAAATAATTTGTTTGCCTTTAAAATAAAAGGTAGCTTTAGTATCTGGGGAGTCTGCTACTTCTGTAGGAAATATGAGATAAAGTGTTGCCTACAAGGGATTTTTTTCTCTTTTGATGTCCTTTCTGGCTTATATTTGAAAATAGCAGCTGATCTGAAAAGTGCTGCTTCTGTTTCCTTTGGAAAATTCCTTTACCTTTGTTTGTTTATTTGAATTCTATATGTAACAAATATGCCAGGGCTATGGGTATCATGTTCAAAGAAAACACATGCAAGACAGCAAGAGCGTGTAACAAAATTAGAGATAATTTCAAACCTAACTTCCATAAGTAACAGTTTTACTCTAGTGTTCAAAAAAAAAAAATTACCCCAAATTTCTTACAAGGTTGGCATAAATGTTACATTCCAAAGGTTGTATCTGTCTTGCTGATTAGATCCCAAATAATTCTCCTTACTCACCTTGGCCGTCCCCAGGTGCTGCTATTGGTCTGTTGCACCACCACCATCTCTCTTCTGCTATTCTTATGTGAAAGTTACTTACCTTGGATTTATTTTCTTATTTGCAGAGTTTCTTTGTTTCAAACATGTCGCACTGTTCTTCCTGCAGAATAGGATGAAAATCACTTAATCATGTTAGCAGTAATCATGAATATTTTACTTGGTAAAGGCAGAGATATTGTTCACTGTGGGGAAGTCGCTGCCTGGGCAAAGGGAGGGTGTGGATTTAGAGCCTGCAGGCTGTGAACTCTTGGTTCCCTGTGCAGTAGACACTGTTAGCACAGTCAGGGAGAAGGAGCTTTCCTCTGCCTGTAGTGCCTATTGATTGCTTCAGCCACACAGGACGTTGATCTACATCCTCTTTTCTGGGCCTTGATTTCCACACGCAAATAAATCTGCGAGGTAATGAGTTGATCGGGTCGTGTTAGCATCTCGACATGAAGTCTTCCAGCCCAGTCTTAGACAAAATGGTGCTTTGGCTAGTACTGATTGAGTAACTGGGGGGAAAACACCAAATGCTTTCTCTATCCAGCTCCCGTTTTAATGCAAGTTTATTCCAAGGTATCCAAAAATGGCCTTGGGCATGGGCTTCTGGCTGGGCAACCTCAAAAGAACAAGTTGGCTACTCAGTCATTCTGACTTTCGAGCATCTTGGGCCAAGGTTGTCCTTTGGCCAAGGTTATCTCTCCACCTTCACCTGCACCCCCTTTTTTGGGAGTGGGAGGACGACACGCAGCTGCAGATTTCAGTCAGGCTGCACGGCAGAGATAGATTTCTGTGTCAGGAGACTTGTGAGAGTGTCGCAGAAGATAATCCCGCAGCCAGAGAGCACTTCTTCAGATGTGAGATGTGAAAGCCTTGCAACAGCTTTCCCTTGGTCCTTTGACTACTGCAGACGTTCGGTGCTGTTTCTCTTCCGACAGTGGGTGTTGACAAGTGGGACTTGGTGCCGCTTCCCTCTTTCATTCTATCACCACCTCCTTTAGTTTTAACCTCTGTTCAACTTAAGCGTGTCCATATGATAACTTCTGAATAATTTGCACACCTTCTGGACGCACTGTGCTGTGTGTGCTGTTGTGAGCAGCAGTCCCACCTAGTAGAGTGGCCTGTTGGAGAAAATGGTGCAGGATGATACGAGGATAAAGTTGTAAGATGTGGTTGACATAGGAGAAACCGGCAGTTCTGAAAATAACACAGAATACAGTGAAACTGCTTGTGCCAGTGATGTCCCAGCACAGTGTGTGCTGGAGGAGCTGGAAAGGGCATGAGCAGATCTTATCGGAGTACAATAAAATAAATGCAGTGTCCCCTGCCACCTAATGAACTGCCACACTAGTGGGTAAGTCTAGGTTTGTCTTAATTTCATGTTTGCTTTGCCAATCACCAGGAATCACAGCAGGAAGTAAATGGCCTTTTGAAAGAAACGTGACTAATATTTCCTTGGGCAGACTCCATTTTAAACAACTAATGTCGAGTGTAATACAGCCAGCCACAAAACACACCATAAAATGGCAGGGTACCAAAAACAAATGATGCAGAGTATGCCAGATATGTGCCAAAAATACTGTAATAGCTTCTGAAAGAAAAATGATGGAAAATATTCCAGTTCTGTAACAAAACAACCATGTTGTCTGAACATACCTCATCAGGTTATAGAAAGTGTTTGATAGTCAGTCTCCTTATTAAATTTTCAGTTCTCTGAATGGTGTTTCTGATCTGAGATTCTTGTAAATCGAGACTAAACAGATGAGAAAATGGAAAATAAAGTGTCTCATCACAGATGAAATTCTGGTAGTCAGTTAACTTACTGTTCTTGTTTCTCATTTGATCACTTGAGGGGATTTCATGGTGTCTGCTTGTGTATCTACTTGAAAGATCTGTAGATTTGTAAAGCGTCGCTTTTTATTCTTTGTTTGATTCTGCTGCCCAGCATGGTTTGATTGGGGTGGAGAGGGAGAAGAACCCTGCCTTGTTGTTAATGGAGAACAGCTCTCAGCAAACCTGGCTAGAAGTTTCAGCTGAATTTTATAGTAGAACATTCTTTGTAGAATTACCAGTGAAGCATCAAAAATAACTGTTAAGAAAGAAAAGGGTCAAAAATATAGAAAATTTAAAAAAACGCCCAACAAAATGTCCCCATTTCTTCACATAAGAATTCAGCTCACAGACAGCAGAAGCTTCCAAATTGCTCTTTTCCCTCTGTTCCACTGACGCCAAAAATATTAGAATCAAGTTAAGATCTCTGGATTGTAAATCAAGCATTGAGGCTTGGCTGTGGAAGAGATAGCTTATTTGAACATTAGCAGTCCACAGATAACTCTGCCAGCTTTATTAATCTTATTTCACTTGTGACCTCAGACTTTCCATCTGAGTAAATCTTTATGAAACGCAGGCTCTCCCAGTCGCTTTACCTTTTCAATAAAGGAAATTCTTGTTTTCAAGGGGAAAAATACTAAAAGCCTGTAACTTTTTTTTTTTTCTTCTGGACCTGTGATCCAGCCTAATAAGTAATCTGACAATCTAAAGGTTAAATAACTTCATTTTGATGTCAGGTATGAGGGGTTTTTTTGCTTTAAATAAGGCTTCTTGTTTTGTAGGCAGGCAACAGTAGTCTTTAGCTAGAAGTGGTTTGTAATGATTTAATCAAGATAGGCTGTGCATTTTTGAAAGTAAACTGAATTGCAGTTTCAGAGCAGACTGACTTCATTGTTTACAGTATCATAGACTAAAAAGAATTAAAAAAATTTTTAAAAATGTCCAACATTCTACTGTCAGTGTGAAGTAATGCATCAGAGAAATCATTAGGGATATTCCATCTTTTTGGATGAAAATAAATACAAATAAGAAGTTTACATGTACTTCGAAGTAAAGCATCCAGAATTCTGGAACTATGAAAAGCCTAATATTGCTAGACCTCTCAAAAGTCACTAGTGCTTCCTAAACATTTTTGTAATGAGGAACAGTGAACCAATTAGAGGGTCCTTTAAAACAATATTTGGGTGGAGGAAGGGACCTTGACTGATATAGAGTGCAGGGGAAAAGTGTAATTCCCTTAACTATACACAGAGAGAGAATTGGATGGAGCTCCTCTTCCAGGAAGGGATCACGATGTCAAGATCACACTTGCATGCTTCAAAGCCAGAGAGCAGAACCCAGTTGGCTACACACAGCAACCTCCCTGAGCCCCGTTTCAGCCAAGCTCAAGGTGTTTACTGGAAGGCTGTCTGGCGACGGGAGCGGCCACAAGCCGATGGGAGGTTAGCACTGTGATGTGCTGAGCGTGGTCCAACTCGTATTAAATTGAGTGGGCTCATCTCTTAAATGCAGGAAATATTTTATTGTGAGCTACCTGCATGACAGCTGCCAGGTAGATCAATAAGGACTTCCACTGCTTCCTGCCGCTCACCTTTGATGAGCACTAGATTTATGACAAACCCACAAACCAAAGCTGCCCCATTTGGTCTGGCCTGACGGCAGCTGCTGCTCGAGATAACACAGACTTTACTGCCTTAACTGGCTGGATAAAGAAAAAGAGATATCTGCAAAAAGGTTAAGAAACACAACTTTTTTCAGTTCCCTAGCCAGTTTGACTGTGTCTTCAGAAGAGCTTGCTCTCAATGCGGCTTTGGGGAGGGAGAAACTCTTGTTTCTCCAAATATCAAAGAAAAATGAGCGAGGTTTGTTTAGGAAAGAAGAAATTGTTTAGGATTAATCTATCGGGTCAGGTGATCTGCATATAAGTCCAAACCAAAAATTTGCGCAGTGCTCAAAGAGCCTCACAATGCTCTCGAGTACGATCAGCTCTGAGGAACACGAGCCTTGGGCACAGCTCTGGCAAAGAGGCCTCTGAGTATCTGCAGAGCAGCGCACCAGAAAGGACAGCAGCAGCAGCAGCATTCCAGTGATCACACCGTCAAAAACATTCATTGCGGTTGGGACACAAGAGATCTGCTGCTTTGCTTAAAGTCTGTTCTGCACAAAGGAAGTAGTTTTTAGAAAATAAGAAAATAAAGTGCTCTGCAGCTCATGTGTATTCTCAGCGTGGCGTGTGATGGGGTGCAAGCACACTGAGCAGGTAAAAGGAAATGTTTTTCTCCAGGCAGCGACGATTAAAGTGTAGTAGTAATATTAAGTTGTGTGCATTGTTAGCGTAGCTGAACTGGGAGTCAAAAAGCATGAGCTCCCCTCCATATGCACCCCTCCGAGCCTCTGCTTGCTCCATGGCTTTGTCTTTTGATAATTTCCGTCTCTCAGATTGCTGACTTCCAAAAGAGAGATGTTTTCTCTTTTACGAAGCCCTGCAGACTCCTTCAGGGTACTGAGGCATACTTTAGAGATCCCAGGTGTTGAGGAACGGGGAGAAGCAGTGAAGGATTTTGAGGGCAAGAGGAGGACTGCTCCCTGTAAGGCTGCTGCTGGACAATGGCAGTGTCAAAATTAGTCTACGTACGCATCATTTGCTGAAAAGATGCTCATCATCTTCCTTGTTTAAAAAGGGTGGGGAAAAAAAATAAAGTGTGTGGGAAGGGAGCAGGAAGGGATGGTAATGCTACCTCATTAAAAATAGATGATGTCTTGTTTTATGATGATCATGTGGTATCTGTGGCTTGGTTTCTGCCCACAGGCTTACATGCAGCCCCACTTGCTGGGAAATGAGTTCACACATTTAGAGTTTCCACGGAGGGTGCAGCGCAAGGAAGTTGGAAAGAGGATGCTCTACCGTGACTTCAACATGACTGGCTGGTAAGAATGTGTCCTTCTCAGCATGGGATCAGCCTTCTCGCCAACTAATGCCTGCTTTGCACGTGTCTTTGATTAATGTAACATGTACCAAACACGGAGGTATACCCCTGCGTACTGAAGGGTTAGGTATTTCTAGGTATTACTAAAGGATTAGGTATTTCCTTCTTTCACATGTATTTTTTGGTCTAGAAGTTAACATTTCAAGTAAGTTCACCTCCCTACAGAGCCAGGACCTTGGTTCAATTTTACCATGCGAGCACTCAAAGCAGAGCAAATACATAAAGGGGAAGACGTGCCAGGGAATCTTTCTGAAAGCTAAACAACTTCCCTGTCCTGAAAGTAGCTTTTTATAGAATCTGGATCAGCGGGCCATCATGCCTTTGCATGCTGAGGAATGCTTGCAGCAGGGAAGAGCTGCCTCCCATACTCCAGTGCAGCTGAGCCCAAATTTGGGTAACCCTTCAGGAATTGTTTTAGAGTCAGGACTATCTGAATAAAAGTCATAGCCAGCCTAAAGTGAAAAGGCTTGAATGAACAGCATTGACTTAATGAAGTGAAGACAGGAAGAACGATGAGTTTTTTGTCTCTGGATGAATGTCTTCATTGTTTTATGTTGGTTCAAGAGTCTTCTTCTCAAGTGACTCCCAGTCACTTAGAGAAGGCCTAATCCTTGCTGTCTTGGGTTCTGTGTGTGACCTATAAAGGCAAAGGCTCTATATATGCAAATGGTCTTCACTTCCATGCTGTTTGTGGTTTAGCATCCTTAATGAATGCCCGTTCAGGAAGGACAAGAGTGGAGGGTATTAAAAAGCCTGAACTCTTGTAGGCTTCTGATTTGTCCCATAATTTACAGACCATAAATATAATGATGTTTTAATGGCAGAATAACGATCTAAGTTTTAATATTATCTGGAACGTTTGTGCAAAACATGTTAATCTGGGAATAACCATCATTGTCCATCATCCTAAACAGCTGCTAGTAGAATATGCAGTCTCACCCTGAAAATGATGACTTCACATTTTAAAAAGACTGCAGGCATAAGCAAAAGAATAGGAACAGAATGAGAACATTGGATCAACTGAGGACTTCAACAGCAAAACATTTGGAATATTATGAGACACCCTCCCAGTCCTGCAAAGGGAGTTTTCTTATTAAACTCCTGGATGTGTCTGAAGGCATCCGTAAAGACTGACTTCATGTAGACTTCCAAAGGCTCTTTTTTCAAGATATAATATACTATTGGGGCAAAAGAAAAGAACAAAAAACCATAATCTGCTTTGGGAAGAGCTACAGAAGTATCGTGGGCCAAGAACTTCCCGAGAAGGGAGTCAGAGCAGAATTCTTTCATCATGGTTGGAAGGCAAAGAGGGTTTCTCCAGGTTCATAGGAGTTGTTTCCATTTCCCCAGTTGATTAGTGAGTGATCTGGAAAGGAAATGAGGTTAGAATGGCTAAAGTTGCAGTATTGGCAGGTGACACCACAACTCTTTTCCTAATAAACAAGAAAGACCATGAGGAGTTGTGAAGAACTAAGTGATTTACATGAATGGGCATCACAGTGATCAAATTTGGTGTTGATGAATACCAAGTAAAGCATAAAGAGGGAAAAATACCAATCCGTGCACACTACCGATTCCAAACGAAGTTGAGAGCCATGTCAAAAAGCTCGGTGGAAGTTCTGCTTACTGTGATTTTTCCACTCCAAATCACCAGCAGAATGTTTTGAGGATGCATACAGGGTTGGAATGGTTAAAAATTAAATAAAGACATAATTCTGTATATCAATTTGTACTCATTTATGACTGTGCATAGCACTTCACCTTATTCAAAGTGGTTATTGCATAGCTAATACTGTTTGGCATTAGAAGATAAATAAGAAGCCACACAAATTTTAAATCTGGAATAATGAGTCAGGCGGAAGCACTTGGCTAAGTCTAAAAGGCTGGCAGGTTTGATTCAGTGCATTGTTTTTCAGTACTGGTGTGTGAACTCTGTTGACTCTAGCATATGGCAGGGGGAAGATGAGAGTTGATTTTCCTGTTGATTTTTCTGAATTTCCTGAAGTGTAGGACACATGTTGATCCAGTTACAGATTCTAATATGCAGAAATTACCACCAGTTTAGCACAAATCTGAAACCAGTTATTCTGGAATAAATAAATACTTAAACAGTGAGTTGAAAATTCAAGTGTGAATTCACCTCAGTGTTGTCGCAGGAAGAGGTGACCGGTGCCAAGCAAAAGCATGTGGAGACTGTGATGAGGCTACCTCTCCCTGCTGTTCCTTTTGACTTCTGCCTGGAAGTGGAAAACCGGGGCTATGGTTTTGCCTTAAATAAAAGAATCTGTGTCTTTGAGCTGCTCCGTATCCCACAGCCAATGCATCAGTTGCCACTTTGTTTGTTTGCTTCAGAACAATAAAATGGTGAGGGAATTGCTCAGTCACCATACATTTGTCTAAATCAGAGACCTTCTAAATGAGGATTCATTTCTTCTTGCGGGGCATTTGCCCAGGGGAGTCTTGTTTTCCATCAGATTGCATGTGGCGATCTCTTGAGCAGAGGAGAAGCGATCCGTTTCTATTTATCCAAAAGTCTCAGTCAATTTTAATTGTTGAAATTGTGGGCAAGACATTAGATTTCCAGCTTGGTGGGTCCTCAGAGGTGATAGTTTGAGGTGGCTGGTGTTTCACAGTCGTCATTTTCCACTTCAAGGCTTTGTCTTCTGTTTTCGTCCCTTTCTACTTCCTAGATTTAACTGATACATCAGGACACAGAGGCCGAGGACATGTCTGTTCTGCATTTGTTTCCAGGGACAATATCTATCATGGGGAATAAATTAGCATATATATTCCTTTTCTAGAAAATGTCAGATGGAGTTTTGGCCAGCCAGAGCTTGATACACTAAAACACTGTCAAACTTTTATCTCTCACAGTGCAGAAGATCAATTGTCTGAACCTTTTTTTTTTTTTGATCAGTGACTTCACTCTATTGACATTTGCACATACGTGTAGAGAGGTACAGGTGATGTTAGGAAGAAACAGCCATTCTTACCCTTAGTTACTGAATCCTTTAGTGAGAGCATGTAAAACTCTCTCTGCTCTGATGTTTGCTTGGAAAAATGAACTGGTTTATTTTCAAATTCAGGATACTTTCTGTGTTTTCCATTAGAACTGTATGATGATTTTTCTTCATTTTTACCCTTCTCCTGTGCTCTGGAGCTTTTCAGATTCTCAACAATGGCTTGGCTTGCCCAGCTTGTTTGGATTGCAAAAGGTTATTGTCTTTTGCTCTGTCATAATGCATTTGGCCTTTATTTTTCTTTCTTTTTCTTTTTTCTTCTTTATTTCATGTGAAGTTTCCACACTGGCTTTGTCTCAACAGTCCACAGTGGCAGCAGAACTGCCAAGTTTCCCCACAGCGTTAGAACAACCACCGATCCAGCCGTGCGTGCTGCGTCACTAGTCCAGGCTGCCTGTGACTGCTCTGAGACCAGCCTTTCCCTTCTCCCTCCGGCTCTCCCACACGTTCTCCTTTCTCTGCAGCGGCACTTGGGATGAGAAATTCACTGCGTTAAAATGTACCTGAAATAAATCCCATTTCGGTGGGAGCTGATCGGAAGCCACCCCTCCTGCACCCTCACCCCACACGCGTCGCGGTTGGGCAACCGTTGCAAAACCCATCGTGGAGCTGGCGAGGCATCTTAAGAGTCATGTCTCCTGCTG